ACAATTCAAAACCCACCAAAAACCCCGAAAGTTAACAGATATGTCATGGGTGAAGCACGTGCCGTTACATTTCGTCAGATGCTTCATCGCATTACGCAATTTTGCTGATTTGGCCGTTGAGCAATGCTAGGAACACTCGCTATTTGCACTCTCCATCCAACACTTCCATTTTCATTGGGCCACGTTATGTTGGTTGGAGAGAGGTAATCATTTCATAGCGAAGCAAGCTTACGTGGCCCAATAAAAAAGCATGTGTTGGTTGGAGAGTACAGGAGGCGAGTTCCCCTAGCACTGCCCTTGGCCATTATGTGGGCAAGCTTTTAATGACGTGGCAACCATTTTAACGACATGGTATCCAACACACCAATTAACTAGCCTACATCATCCCGGCAGAAGAAAAAAATAAATAAAATAAATATTTTAAAATAAAATGATTGTTGAAAAGAAGGAAATGACTAAACTGTCCTCTTCAATTTGTTTGAGGAGCAAGTTCCCCATTGAAGATCTAGCGTTTGCAGATGGGTTTGAAACCCATATAACATCAGAAGGGGTGAGCTCCAATCGAACGGTTCTGGTCCCTTTCTTTCACAGCATTTTTTATCTTTATGCCATCGCTGGCTTTTTGGGCACCTTCCTCATGTGATTTCCTGCGATTCATCTTGTTTCTTCTCGTTTTCTAGTTCTCTTCGCTCAAGCTTTATACTCTTGCGATCAATTTCTCATTGATTTGATGCCACCGTCTATTTGCTTGGGCCTCGACGATCCTCCAGTACGAATAACGCCTTCGTTCAGCGAACCATGTGACCGCCAAGCTCCGGGTCGGGTTTGGACCTATTTCTTGCCCAAAACCACACATTCTTTCTTTAACTATATTTCTTCTCTTTTCACTTTAATCTACGTCTCTAGCCTTGTCTTTGTTGAATTTGAATCAGAAATTGAAACAAAATATCTTAACAATAAAAATTTTTAATGGCAATTTTAGTTTTGCTTCAAGTCATGTTTTGGTTATAAAATAGATCTTTAACAAGAAAACCCAGTCATGCGTTTCAAACAGATTTACTTTGATTTTTCAAACCAATAAGCTTGGGAAGATGAAAAGCTCAAGGTACTCACATGGGTAAAGTTTCTTTCTCTTGAAGTGGGTAATTAGTTTAAAATTTACAATGTATAAGGACCAATCTTCTTCAAATTTTGATAAATACAGGAACCAAAACGAAATTCCAGATGCGAGACCCATGTGCCACGTCAGTAAAAAGCCACCTCAGATAAAGTTTATCCAAGTCAACAGAAGCTTGACAAGTCATCAACCATTAACGGAATTGAACGTCCACGTCAGAGGCGCTCGACATGGGTTTTGAATTACGTGAGTTATTGATACAGAAGAAAAATATTAGAAAGTGTTGAATATGAAAAATAATAATATAAATGGTGTAAATAAAGAGTTTTTCTTTTTATTAAAACAATATTAAATGCTACGATCAGTTTCTAGTACTGTTTCATTAGTTTCGGGAAATAGAAATGACTATAAATCTTGCATACATACATAACAATTCAAGGCTTGTGGTTTGGCAAACACCAGTACATTTGAATGCTGTTTTTGTTTTCACATTAGAAAAAATTCTTGTAAATCCTTTAGTTTTTATCACTTGTACCTTTAGTATCGTTTAAGTATGATGATCTGACGAAGGGATGTCATTCTTTAAGGGTGCGTTTGGAGCCCCAGATGAAATGTTGGATTGGATAAAAAATTTATCCTCTCCCTCCTAATCCCATGTTTGGAGAATCCTCGGGATGAGATAACCATTATCTAACATTTTATCCAATCTGTTGCTCACCAAATAAGTTTAATCCCATCAAACCCATGGGATAAGGGGGGGATTGAATTAAATTTCCTAAATCTACCCTTCTTGTCCTCTGCTTCTCCCTTTTCACAAATCACCAGCGACCTTCTCTTCAAATTCTCCTCTCACTGGTGACATTCTCTCTCCTGGCCGATTCGTGTCTCACTGACTAGTGACATTTTTTCTTCTGGCCGATCGTCCTCTCTCAACGGTGACTCTCTCCCCTACCTCTCCTCTCTCACCAATTATTTCTCTCTCCTCTTCTGGTTTGCTCCTACAAGTTAACTGGATGGGTTTCACAGATCTAGTTGCAAGGAAGGCAAAATCATGTCGGTTGCAACTACATCTTTTTTTTTGGCTAACAGCCACTTTTGGTTCAACTGCATATTCGTTGAGGAAGATGAACCTCTTTTTTTTTTTTTTTAAGAAAAACAGTTTTAACTTGAAACATTTTTTTAATTTGGGTTCTTTTTGGGTTTTCGAAAAAAAATGAAAACGAAAATGTTTCATAGGTGGAAGATTTACTAGTCTGCTTTCTTAGGAAAAAAATGAAATTGGGTTCTTGCTTGATTTTTGAGAAAAGAGAAGAAATTGAAAAAGAAAATATTTCATAAGAAAAATTGAAATCAGGAGTTCTTGTTTGGTTTACAAGGAAAAAAAAGAATGAAAATTGAAATTACTTCATTGCTTGATTTTTGAGAAAAGAGAAGAAATTGAAAAAGAAAATATTTCATAAGAAAAATTGAAATCAGGAGTTCTTGTTTGGTTTATGAGGAAAAAAATGGAATGGAAAAATGAAAATACTTCATTGAAACTCGAAGAATTACTACCATTTACTTTCTTAGTAAAGAAAATAAAAATATATTTTGATTTTCTTGCCATTTGAAATTTAATTTATAAAGTCACTAGAAAATTTTTAGTTTGATAGAAATATAATTTTGATAAAATTCAATTCAAAATTTTCAATTCATCCTGCTAATTAATTAAATTAATTTCATTAGTTTTTAATCATTATAAATTAATTGTTGAGTATATTTTATCAATAGTAGAACAAGTTTTTAATTTGAATGCCTATAAAAAATGTTTGCATTTTTAACAAAAATCTCAAATGTTGAAAAATATTACTAATATTATAAACAAGGACATTTTTGTTAACAGATATACATATTTATTTCCCAACTGTAGCTCTCCAAACAGAAGATTGGATTATTTTATTATCTAATCCAATCTCATCTAATCTAATCTCATTGTTTATATCACATCCCATCTTATCCAATCTTGTATTCGAAATGTGCCCTAAAAGAACTCATGCAAAGAAATTTGAGGAATGAAATTAATAGATATATAAATTATAAAGCTTACACCTAATTCCTGACAAGAAACAAGACTATGAGAAGGATCCAGGACTAAATAAGAAGGCATCTCGTTGGGCAATAATTCATATGATATACCCCAAGTGGATTAACGTCTTTGAGTCCTTCTAATAAAACGCTTCCCAGAGAACAAATGCTTGGGTTTCAAGGTAGGAATCACCCTATCTCATCTGCCTCTCCCCTACGAGCATCCTCTTCCTAACAGAATTCTTTCCCAGTTTGATTGCCTTGACCTTTTGTTTAGAATCCTTGAATCCCTCACCTGGGACAACTTCACTTGGAGGTCGTGACCTTGATCTTGATTGGGATCTAGACCTTA